ATGTTTCCAGTAGAATCTGGCAAAGCCGTCGTGTCCTTCAACTTGAGGTTCACTAACATCGAAAGGCATGTCCATAAGACGTTCTTCTTCTAACCTCTCTAGTCTGTTTGGATAATTGGCACGTGCTGTTTCCAAATCCATTTCGTAGCGAAGACCAGACAATTTGTCATAGACTTTTATGGGTCTTCCCTTCCTATATTTAAACTTCTTCGAAACTCTCCAACCATAACTTTGCAACTCTGCTTTTATTCTAGCAGACTTTCTATCCATTCTATATGGGGGCATTTTTATAAAATAAAAAAATATTTTTTTTCTCTTTACTTTACATAACCGCCTGCTGCCATAAGTCTTTGACGCCAACCCATACCAGCTAATGAAGGTTGACTTGGTTTAGTTTCCAAACTAAACTTTGGTTTTGGTTTATCTTCAGTTTTTGGTTTTTCTTCTTCTATCGGTTTTTCGTCACTTTTCGGTTTCTCTGACTTTACTTCACTTGCAGGAACAGTTGTGTCGTCAACATCTTCATAAATATCATATGCCATTTGTTTTTGTTTTTCCTTTCAACTTTTTGTGTTTGTTGTAAAGTTTAGAATATTTCGACTCTAAGTCAATGAGATGTTCTATAATGAACTGTTGGTCAGTGAAGTAAACTTTTCCATCTGTTGTCTCGAAAGCTCCTTCAGACTTCAATATTTTATTTGTGAGAGTCTGTTTCTTTTTTGAGATACTAGCCGTTCCATTTTTATGAAAAGTGACTTTGTAGTTAGAGTTTGTATTTCCAGACCTGGCACTTTCTATTATTGAATTTTTCTCTTCATCTGTAAGTTCTTTGACCGGTTTTGACAATGGTTCTGAACTTTTTGTTTGTGGTGTCAAATCTACCGTTTCAACTTCTTCGGTCATTTCATCTCAGTAAAAAATTTTAGTTTGGTTTGTTTTCAACTGGTTGTTGTTGTTTTTTAAGTCGGTCTAAAACTTCCTGAGGTATAGGAAGAACTTGACAAACACGTTGTGTAACTGCTGGAAGCCGACAAATCCATCTTGAACCCATTTGTCTCAATGCTGTATTGTTCATTTCATCTCAGTAAAAAACTTTACATTCCCCACGTTTGAGGCGGTTGAGGTTGGTTATTGTTTACCCACTGTTGTGCATGGTTATATCCTCTGTTAAAGAATCTTTCACCTTGGTCCATATAGTGTCCTGCTTGGTTATAGTAGTCATTTGCTTTGTTATAATAGTTTCCTGCTTGTCTTCCTACATTGTCCATCCATCCTTGAACTTTTCCTCTTGTTTCAGGATTTGGAATAAGATTTGTTGCATCTCGTGCTACATCCCAACCTTTCTGTACAGTTTGTATAATAGGTTGTGCTTTCTCTTTAAGTATACCTAATGTACTCAAAATCTTCCTTCCAACTCCAAATACACCTCTGGCTATTGTTCCCACTGCGGGCAAAAATCTAGATGCAACTCCTGCTAACGCGCCAAATAAACCCATTTCTTATGGTTAAAAAATGACGAATCCAAACAAGGACCCCTATGTTTCTAAAAGCGACAAAGAAAGCACTCATGGTAAAACTTTAGTTCAACACCAAAATGCTTGGTTTATGGATATCTTGAAAACATTCCGAGAGTTAGAAAGATGGACCACCATACTGGCTAATATTTGTTGGTCAAAACACAAGATACTGTGAAGCCATACCATTACAGTCCAAAAATATTTAGATATCTTAGCAGCTTTGACAATATTCGTTGACAAATACCATCCAACAAAACTGACATCTGACTGTGAAAGTTCTTTCAAATCAGACGATATTAAAAATATCTGCGTTCAAAAAATGTAAACCAATATTTCATTGTCGACCAAAACCATTCTGCTCTTGGTGTCATTGACGGTTGTATAAAAATGTTAAGAGACTTAAACCAACCACAAGGTGGTGAAGCAAATGAAATGTCATATGACGACAAATATAGACACTTCTCCATGGCAAAGATGAGACAAGTTTTAAATATTTACAATAACCGTAAACAAAAAGGTTTGGGAAACCACTCCCCCGAAGAAATGAAAAACAACCCTGACATAGAGAAAGACTATATATTTAATAATTTAGTCAAAAGAGACAAACAAGAAAGAATGCCGGGCTTCAAACTTCAGAAAGGTGACAAAGTAAAAATAGAAATACCTAAACGCGACCCATATGAAAATACTATTGACTATGACAACAATGGGAACCGACAGGTACTCACATTCGTGTTCGTAAAAATAGAAGAAAGTATACAAGAGAATATTATGAAGTTTTAGGCAAACATGGCAAAATGTACAGACTGCAAGCAGAAGATAAAACTACTATTGTCAGACCTCGTTTCAAACTTGTCAAAGTTCAAGGTGGTATACTTTCAAAGACAGTTCCTAACAAATATAAGACAACTCCTGACGAATATGCTAAAGAAGTTGAAAATGACGACTAAGCAATTCTATACCATGCGTAAACTGTCATGTAAGGTGGCATGTAGTCTTTACTTTGTCCGGTTGTTTGCGTATATCCCGAAACGAAATGTGTATGGTCTCCTCCTACCTCAGTGTTATCCAAGTAACAATTTATAGCAAACTTAACGTCGTCTTTAACATCATATCCTTGACCTTTTGTCATTCCTGTCCAATCCCAATATCTATGCTTATGCCAACCTGCTTGAGATGTACTTAAATCTATGTAGTGACTGTGTGCAGGTAAATTTTCACCTGAAATCGTTTTACTTCCACCTGTTTCCTTTGAAGAGTTTGCACAATACAAAAACCTGTCGACTATTTGTTCCCATGCACCAACACCAAACATTACTTGAGGACCTTCTGCTTCCATTGACGTATAAATAGAACCTACTGGGTTCATTAAATCAAACATATGAGATATTATAGGATTGTCTCTTTTGAACTTAAAATATAGTGCAACTATTTCAGGTTTCTTCTGGTTTAAGTCAGAATATTTTTTATAATATAATCTTATGTTTTCAGGGTAGGTAAAATCTTGACTATAATATTTATTTCTGTCATCTTCATAATAGTATACTATTCTCGTTTTTTCTATTGCATTATATCTTTTATATCTATAAAAATCTAAATATAATGTTAGCTTTTGTTCATCTACATGTGGTGTTCTGTTGTCATCTCCATAGTCATAATAGTATGGTGCTGGAGCTGGGTCAGGCAATGTCATATCTGTCATTTCATAAACTCGGAAATATTTCTTTTGTTCGTCTCCATATAAGTTTAAGTAGCAGTTGTTGTCTAATGGAACTTTAACTTGTGTACCATCGTTCTTTTTATAGCTTACATACATTTCATTGTTATTTTTCGGAATGAGTTTATACCGTATACCATTTTTTAAGGAATGTACAAACTGCCATCTAAAATATTTGTTTTCTTCATTGAAAGAAAAGTCACCAACAATAGTTTCAATATTTTTTGTTCCAACTAAACTTTGGTATATTTCATTGACATATGTTTTATCTGCTTTATTTTCAAGGCTAACGTTTAAGTCTGTTATTTCAGAAGATGTATGTGTATGTCCAACGTCACTTTTCCTGTTTAAGGTTTCTTGTAAGTTTGCAATATTTGCAATGGTATGTGTATGTCCAACGTCACTTTTACTGTTTAAGGTTTCTTGTAAGTTTGCAATATTTGCAATGGTATGTGTATGAGTCTTTTTAGAATATTCGTTTTCAGCTCTTGTCACTTCACTTGACATTTTATTGTCAACATATGTTTTGTCTGCTAGTTCAGGATGAGTATGTTCTTTTGTTGCATAAGCTTTGTCAGCTCTTTCTTCTTCTTTTGCTATTGCATCGTCTACATATGTTTTGTCTGCTTTGTTGTCAACATCTGCTTTCAAAAGAAGTTCTTTATAGGTTTCTCGTTTAAAGTTCCTTTTGTTGGATTTATACAGACAGTATGGTTCTTATTGTCTTGAAACAGAAACTCATCTGTCATTGGGTTTAAAGTCAGTTTTAAGTTTCCTTCTTTCAATGACTCAGATATCTTAGAATAGTTTGAAAAGTTTGTTGTGTTCTTATTTAGAGCTTGTATAATGAGTTGTCGGTTGTGTTGTATTTCTCTCATAGACGCTGTTTCATTTGACATTTTTATTCTAGATAAAATATGCTTTCAATAGAAAAAGAAAACAAGAGTTGCTACAACTAAACCATTAGATGAACTTTTTACGAATGTCGGTCAAAAGTTTGAGACAGAGACCGTAAAGCATGAAGGCTATCGTTTTGACTACCCGTTAAGATGGTTAAGAGACCCATCTGTCACAAAAGCTATTGGCTTTCGTAGAATGAAGTTCATTTCAGAAGCCATACATGGTTTCCCATTTACAGTCGGTTTTGAAGTTCGATACTATAAACAAAGAAAAACGTACGTATGAGAAATTTGAACAGGGAAAACTTTTACAAGTGAATTTGCTTGTAAACTTAGAAACAACTCTTCAAGCTTTTCAAGAAAAAATAAACGACATCTATATCGAATATGCAAACCAGTATAACATTGACGAGGGAGAGTACCATCTCGATATTATATATGACAGGAAAAATGCAACTGTTAAAATCAATAGAATAGAAGACCTTGGAGAAAACGTTTATATTTCTACAAAATATAACAACTTGGCATGGTATAGATTTATGAGGATGTTAAATCAGCCTGCAGAATATCCAGTACACCCGGACTTTTATGAAGTCGAAAACCCTAATGGAACATATGAAAATGTTTTCGACTCAGATGCTATTATCGTTCATGCTTCATTTTCTGGCGCCCAAACTCTTTCTTTGCTTGGCAAATGACTTTTACGAAAAACCTACAAAGCTATATGAACCGCCGAGTGGAAGTATTTCAGACTTTCAAGTATGGTTTACAACAGATGGAAGAAAGAGAATAATTCCATTATACCATGCGTTTTACTTAGAACTTAGTTTCATATACAACTACTATCGAACGGTAAAAAATAATTTTTTAATACGGTTGAGGTGTTGGATTTGGTTGCCAACTTGACTGTGGTGCAGGTTCAGGCTGTTGTATAACAGGAGCTTGTTCTTCTGGTTCAGGGTCTTTAGGTATAATACCAACAAACTGACCTACTCTTTACCAATATTTTTGACACCGTTCCAAATTCCTCTTCCTACGGTTTTTATTCCATTCCATATACCTCTTCCAACTCTTCGAAAGAAGTTTCCAATATTCTGAAGAAACCCATTTTACTATATGTAAAAATCTAATGTCCGCCTAGTCTCTTACGTTTCCTGTTGAGTTCCATAGCATTCTTTAACTGGAGCTCATACATTCTGTTTCTCCTCTGGTAGAAAACATATTCTGGGTCAACTCCTGTGTTCGCGTCATCTGCATAAAGTTGTTTATATCCCACTTCGGGTTTGTATAAAACTCTTTCCATCTCATATTTGCATACCATGGTGGCAAACCTAACGCAGCGTCATTTGACATGGCAGTTTGCATTTGTACATCTGTTGGCACTTGACCATAGTTTGCCATTGCAGTTTGTATTCTAACTTCATTTGGAATATTCTCTGGGTTTGGTTGTCCAGGTTGCTGTGCATTTGCTAAGTTCTGTGCGTCCATTTAATATTAGATAAAAATATCTCTTACGAGTACATATACTGGACATTTGCAGGCATTGGTTCATCTTCATATTCTCTGTACTTTCTGCCACGTCAAATAAATAAATGACACAATGGAAAAAACCTAAAACAAGTAGTCCTATTTCAAACCACATTTACTTACTAGTAAAATTTCTTTATTGTGACACTTTCTCCAGTTTATAGGACCTCTCTCATATTCTATCTTGTCATATCTAAACTCATAGTCATGTATGTCCTCTAACCATCTCATAACGGTTTCCAAACACTTTTATCGGATGTAAAGTAAAAGCATGGATGGTTATGTATAACGTCTAAAGTTTCTAAAGAGTCTCTCAAAGTCCAGTCTACTTGGTATTGAAAATCCCATGTGTTATAGAACGGCGGGTCCACTATAAAGAAAATATTTTCCTTGTCTTTATATTTTTCATACAACTCTGTCCAATGACATCTCACAAACTCTATACCCTCAATATATTTTTCTATGTCCTCTTGAAAACATTTGTATAGTTAAGATATAAAACGTTTGACATAAGTGTTTCAATGTCATGAACTCTTATAGAACCACTATATAATAGTCTAGCAGATATACTATCCCAGTCTATATATTCTGCTTTTTTCAAAACCTCTCTCACAATATTTTTCTTATCTAATGGTATACGTTCCATCTTACCTATAGGTATCTTTTCTTTTAACTCTTTCAAATAATTGTTTGTGTCTGGAATATGTTTGAGACGGTCCATATAGTTGGTCGAAGTCATTGCATATAATCTTTGAGTCTGGGAATATTGTATGGCACAAATGGGATATATAGAAACTTCCACCGAACAAATCTACAAATGTTAGACCATTTCGGTAGTTTCTTAAGTTCTCTCAATAGAATATCTTACATCTACCTTATTTCAAAGAACGGGTAACGGTGGTTTTGTAAAATTCATTTATATATAATAATAAAAATGTTTTTTCCTGAAAAGTGACAGAAAAGTGACAAAACATTTACGAAGAAGAAGTTTATTTCCTGGACTGTTGTCAAAATGTCATGTTGTCACCATTTTCAAAAAGATGTTAGTTGACCGAGGGACCGAGGGACCGAGGGACCTGGTGACACCTTCAGTTCTTCAAAACATTTACGAAGAAGTCTTGACAAAACATTTACGATGAAATCATGACAAAAACATATACGAAGAAGTCATGACAAAACATGAAAACATATATAATTTGTGAAAAGCGAAACATTATATAATGTTTTCGACCCAGAAGAAGGCTTCTCAAAGTATACTTCCTTGGAACGCCTGTAACTTTTCCTGTAGCGACGATAGACCCTTACTTGTCCGGACAAAGTTATACTAAACATCTTCAGGGCTAGAGGGCACGAAGTGCCTGGAGGCCCCACTACCTTTTTTTTTTTCATTGATATTATTTGAATATAAAAATTCAGTTGTTAATACCATAATGCACGTTGAATTTTCCGAATTTTCAAATTGAATACATTGAAAATTCTTGAAAATAAAATTCTGAAAATTTGATATTATTTTAAGATCTTCATAATCTGAATTGAAATTTAGCAAACTAATGATTAGCTTTGAAATAATTTGAATTTGATATAGCTCAGTACCCTGAAACCATGAATAGTTTGGATTATTTCGAAGTGCATTATATATTTTCAAAACATTATCTTGATCAAAAAGAATAATTTTAAAAATTTTGTATAATATTTCGAAAGAATCTTTATCAAAATCATTAAAATTAGCCATTGTATTCAAAAAGCTGATTGCGAATTCATTATGTCTGAAATTTTCAAAATATAATAGAATAAAAAGTAAATGCTCATAGATCGAATCACTATAAGTAATAAGATTTTCGATTAGGATTTGCTCGTCAATTGTTTCAAAAATTTCAATATCTCCTGTATTGTTGATGTAATTGATGAAACAATCCGCCAAAAAGTATGAATGAGTGTTATTTCTAATGCAATCGCCAAAAGATTCTTTGTCAATATGGCTGCATATTTCGGAGAATTTAAATAACTTTGATATTAAATCCCAAATTATGATAATCATATGTAATTCGCAATTTGATAACTTTTCGATTAATATATCATAAAAATCATATAATACAACCTGGAAAACACATATTATTTCAAAATTTTCATTGATTTCGTGTAAATAATGTGAGTTTTTTGTTTTATTGAAGGATTCTATCATTGAAAACAATGAATTATTATCATATGCAGCTTCTGCAAACACAACAGCATCAATTTTATCGTTAGAGACTTCGTCTTTATAGTCAATCATTGAAAAATAAAAATCCTCTGAATTATTTGAATGAATAAATTTGAATGTAAGACTAATATTTATTTTTCTACAACCAAAATCAATAACCATTTTAATTAGTATACAATAAATTGATAATACTTTCAAATTTTCAATTATTTAAACAATATTCAAGATTTTGTTCTTCATAATTTTTTGTTTGTTTGAACAAAAATGAATTATTTTGAAATTTGGTTTTCATTTGATTACTATAGAAATTTGAATTGCCATGAAATCAAATGATTTATTCAATGAATTAGAAAAAATATTGATAAGAAAATATTGATAAGAAAATATTGATAAGAAAATATTGATAAGAAAATATTGAAATAATTAAAATATAAATTGAATACTTTTCATAATTAAAATGGATATATTGGAAATTTTAGATGATCAAGTTAGGTGGAATCGACCTGAGTACTTATGTAAAATTAGCAGTGATGAGAGCGTTCCTCCAGAGTGGCTTGCAGCCAAAAAAATCAGTAAAAAAGGAAGAAAATTCATTCAAGAGTATGAAGAATCTAAAGTAGAGATCATAAGTCTTGTTCAACGAGAAGAAAATCAATTTAAATGGCATATAAAAATAAATGGAAAATCTAGAATTGTTTTAACAGACGAGTTGTTCAAACTTTCTGGACGTAAGTTTTTAGACTTTCTTCTTAATAATTTGAATATAATTGAAGATGAAGAAGAACCTCTTAAAACTGATTCAGAATATGAAAAGAGTTCAACTACAGATAGTTCCTAAACTGAAAATAAATATAAAAAACAATTTTTTATTTAATAAAAGAATATTTTATAATATATCACCAAACTACAGATCATTGATGTATGATAAACTGATTAAGTAATGAATAAAATTTTATTTATACTTCATTCATTCTTTTTTAATGCATGAAATGCTATAATTTAGCGTCTGCATATAAAATAATAGAAGTTTTACTTCCAACAATGAGAATTTGAGAATTTGACATTAAAAACAATGATTTTACTTTCATTTTAAGAATTTAAAATATTTTTTGGATTCCTCATGTCTAAAAAGCGTTTCGATTCAATTAATTTCAACTAATAACTAAGGCATATCATGAAAGAATATAAATTAATAGCAATATGGGTACGAAAAATGTATATTTGATTGATTTTTTATAATAATACAATATCTTGAGGTAAGATTGTGAAAAAATATCAATTTATACTGCAAGATGAATAAATAACACATTAATAAGGAACTCTATTGTTTTATTGTTTTGCAAAAGCGGAGTTGTATACTCAAAGTGAATGAATAATTTAAATCTTTGCATAAACAACGATATTTGAAGAGAATCTCATTAGGCTATTGTTTATTAAAAGCAATAAAATCATGCTGTTGTGGATAAATTAAAAATAATAATATATTACATTAATTTAGTACAATTTGGGTAAATAGATCTGAATATCATTCAAATTTAATACAAATGATTATTTTTAAGAACCTTATTAAAGCGGTTTCTCTGAAAAATTCAATCAGTGTAAAGTATTTCAATTCATTTTATTATGAGTAATAAAGATCAACTAAAGCCCATTAAATTTGCAATAAACTTGCACATACCCAAGATAGATCCTGATTCTAGAATTTCTTCTTTATTTCAACAAATTTCAGATAATTTACCCAAGAATACAGAAGAAAATAAAGAAGAAAATGTATTATTAGAACCAGAAAGTATTTCGTTGGAAGCTTTTCATAATCAAGCATTTGAATCAATTGACATTGCAGTATATAAAATTCAAAAATTTTGTTATTTCAAGAAATTTGCTTTGAATTATTTACCATCAAAAAACAAATTTTATTGTACTGAATGTCATCAACATTGTATCAAACTAGTAAATGATGGCAATAAAGTTATTTCAAAATTTGTATGCAATCATAGTTGCAAAGGTAATACTAGCTGCCCCCATAATCTTTTGGATCACTATGTTTCTAAATATGGGAGAAGTCGAATATACGGACATCCAAACGAATTTTATGACTTAATTCGATCAAAATTAAATGATATCGAAATGTCGGACAGAAAAATAGACGAATCATACAATAGATGTTTTGATAATTTTAAGATATCAAAGATAAAGCAATTTTCAAAAATACTTGGAATTATGCAAGAAATCA